ATTTTGTAGTGATGTGTGAAATTGAGCTTGTGTTACAGGGAGCATACTTGTGTAGAGCACTGCCATTCAAATTGAAAGCAAGCCATCAAGGCTGCATTCATTGTGCTCAAAAATATCAGTAAAAACAATAATAAAATGAAATCTGATTAAAATTTAAGAGAACTGTTTGAATATATTTTAAAATGTCATTTATTCCTCCGATCAAAGCTGAATTTTCAGCATCAGTGTCACATGATCTTTCAGAAATTATTCTAATATGTAGATTTGCTATTACCAAAGTTGAAAAGAGTTAATATTTTTTGTAGAAATCATGACTTTTTTTGGCTTCTTTGATTAATAGAATGTTCACAGAACTACATTTATTTGAAATATTTTTTGTGTTGTTGTAACATTCATAAATATCTTTACTTTCACATTTGATCAATTCCAAAAGTAATTAGTTTCTTAAAAAAAAAAAAACCCTTCGAACACTAGTGTATTCTGCATTATACCCTTCCGCCATGTTTTTCATTCCTAAATCTGTGATTGTAGATCTGCAACTGGCTCGATGGTGTCATCCTGGTTTTTAGTCTGGAAAACGAAGCAAGTTTCCAGGATGTGTACAAGAACTACAGTGAGCTAAGCGCAAATCGTAACATAGCAGAAATCCCCATTATAGCGGTCGGAACGCAAGGTAAGAGATACACTCTTCTTGGTTTCAGGGATGTTTAATTGAGCTATATGGTGTCGCGTACCAATCTGAGTGTTTTTCTTCCTGCAGATAAGATCAGTAGCACTAACGCCCGTGTGATTGAGGACAAGAGGGTCCAGCAGCTGTGTATAGATGTGCGTCGCTGCACTTACTATGAGACCTGTGCCACCTATGGACTTAATGTGGACAGAGTGTTCAATGAAAGTGAGTTTCATCTCAAAATAGGGGCTAAAATATCATGTGACTTCCATACAGGATGACAGTTGTGATTGGACAAACTTGTTTCCCTCTTAGTGACTCACAAGATTGTTGCTGCAAGAAGCAAGCCGCCCTTCTGGCATCCTGTAAATCTCTCCCAAACTCCCGAGTCACTCAGGGGCCTCGACTCCTCTGTCAGGGCCCGGACAGGTATCTCAATGCTTATGAGATGCTTTCTCGTGAAAGCTGTCAAGACATGTCTGGGTCAATTCTGGGTCAAAGAAAATCTTTTTTTGTTAACTATAATGCAAAAATGTGCATTTGTGAAGTGCAGTTTTTTAAATATGTAAAGTATTTAAATATCTATAACACTTCACAATAAGAATCACATCACAAAATCAGTATTTCAATATTATTTACAACTGTAATCATTATAATAATACAATTAATAAAAGTTTATATTTATTTGTAGATGAATTATAAATGATACAATTCCATTTCAATACATGCATTTTAATTGTAGATTGATGCATTACACATTTGTATACCCCTGTTGTTGTATTTGACTGTTTTAAATGATTGTGAACTTCATCAATCTGTCTGCACCATTCACCATTCCACCAACCTCTGTGTCAGTCTTCTTAATGTCCCATCATCCTCTCTTAGGCCAGTAATGGGGGTCAAAGTAGTGATTACCCCTCCTCTTTGCCTTCTACCCCTGTGATAAGTCACAAAGACATACGGGGTGGGGCAAGTGGAGACGGGGGCTCGCAACGAAATCCGCCCCGACGACGGACCTCTTTATTTGCGGTTAGTTCTTTGAGCTCATTACTAAGAGTGTCAAATCTTGCCAGTTACATTATAGTGAAACTGGCTGTGGAAAATGTTGTATTAAAGTATAGTTGGCCTTATATCTACATGATTATAGTAATCCAAGGTGATGTGTGTAATGTTTTTACAGTAAAATAATTTCTTCCATTCAAATTTGAATATGTGAAGATAACTAATAATGGAGTAGTTCACTTTTGAGAAAACTTTTGCGGATAATTTACTCACCCTCATGTCATCCAAGATGTCCATGTCATTCTTTCTTCAGTCGAAAAGAAATTAAGGTTTTTGATGAAAACAGTCCAGGATTTTTCTCCATATAATGGACTTCAATGGGAACCAAACGGTTCAAGGTCCAAAAGACACTTTCAGTGCAAATCGCAAACTGTTCAAAGGGCTTTAAATGATTCCAGACGATGAATAAGGGTCTTGTTAAGTGAAACGATCGCTCATTTAATAAATAAATAACCAAGTTTAAGTTTTATAAGCTCAATGCTCACCTTGCTCTGTTCTGTGATGCACGTTTGTGGCTCTCCTGTTCAAACTCGTTCGTCAAAATGAACGAATCTTTTTCCGAGTCATTTGGTTCATTCAACGAACGAAACGAACGAAGTGACTCGGAAAAAGATTTGTTCATTTTGATGAATGATTTCGAACAGGAGAGTCACGAACACACAGAACAGAGCAAGGCGAGCATTTGAGCTTATAAAACTTAAACTTTGTTATTTATTTATTAAATGAGCGATCGTTTCGCTTGATAAGACCCTTATTCATCGTCTGGAATCGTTGCAGTTTGCACTGAAACTCTCAGTTGGACCTTGAACAGTTTGGTTCCCATTGAAGTCCATTATATGGCGAAAAATGCTGGAATGTTTTCATCAAAAACCTTAATTTCTTTTCGATTAAAGAAAGAAAGACGTGGACATCTTGGATGACATGGGGGTGAGGAAATTATCAGCAAAAGTTTTTTTTTCAAAAGTGAACTACTCCTTTAATTGTGGCAGATGGGGAAACCTTTTCGAAAAGGTTTTGGTGATACTAGTGAAATTACATATGTCACCTTCAAATGTTGTTACAAAAAGTATGACAGCATCTCCAGTCTGAGATTCTGTCAGTGAACTTTCTGTCACTCTTTAACACTCACTTCATCTCATGAGTCACATCTGTCTTCCTTCCTTTACGTGTTTTGCCTGTACTTTATCTAACATGTCTGTTATTTTAGAACCGTCGTGGGAGTGACTCTGAGAAAAGAGCTTCAGACAGTAGAAGTGACATGAGCAGTCGGTCGGTTCCTATCAAACAGGTGTGTGTGTGAGATCTCAGCTTTGCTGGTGTGTCTTGGGGCTTCTGTGAAATGCAGTGTTTGGACAGTTTTGGACATATAAAAGCTGCTGGAAAAATGCATGAATCTCATTGCATTAGAAGAATAATTAAATAAATCGCGATGTTGTTTTTCTTTGTTAGGGAACTTTGTGGAAACGGAGTGAACGCTCTTTAAATAAGGAGTGGAAGAAGAAGTATGTGACGCTGTCAAACAACGGGATGCTGATGTATCATTCAAATTTAAACGTGAGTAATGCTCTCTTGCAATCCGCTCTGTTTTCATCAGAGCACTAGTGGTTTTACACATCCTTCATGTACAAATACTTCCTGTATGCTTCTGTTCTGTATAATCACATTTTGTGTTTTGAATTCCTTTTTGAATACTGCTGTTCATCAGTGCGTTTTTGACTTAGTATTTTTAGATGTATTAGTTTATTATAAAATAGTGTGTTAACGTGTGATGCTGTAACTGTATTTAATAATATTGCCTTTTTCCAGGAAAAAAAAAACTTATTTTCTTACTCAGTATTTTCATCTTGCTTTCCAGCATATAAACATTCTTAAATCAAGATATATTTAGTTGAGAAGCAAAATGACTTCAGGTATTAAGTCTTGTTTAAAGAAAAATGGACCAAAGTTAAGAGAGTTTATGCTTTACACAAGAAAAATATCTGTCAGTCAAGTAAGATAAATAATCTTGTTTTCCTTTGAATTAGGTTTATTTTTCTGACCCCACTGGCAGATTTTTTTAAAGCATATACTCACTTAATTTTGAAGATTAAAAAAACAAAAACAAGACTTCATATCTTAAGTGATTTAGCTGCTCAAGAAAATGTATCTTGATTTAATAATTTTAGATATTTGTAAAGAAAATATTTTCTGCAGTGAATAATTATAATATATATATATATATTATTTTATATTATATTATATTATTATTATTTTATTATTATATATTGTGTGTGTGTGTATTATATATATATATATATATATATATATGATATACATATATATAATATAATACACACACACACACACAGAATATAATAAATATAATCCATGTAATAAATATAATAATGTATACACACACACACATATTATATAAACAACAACTTTTATGTTAGATGCGATTAATCCATTTTAGTGCACTAATGAAATATTTAAATATCATATTATATAATGAAATTATAATTACCCAATATATTAAACCAGTCAATTTTAATTGTCAATATTATTATATTATGTAGTACTCAATATGATTATATTTTTTACAAATTAATACAAAATGATATTATATTTTGTTTGTGGATTTACAGCTAATCTGTGTTGTAATGATTAAAATCCAGTGGAGAACATGTTTTGTTAGATATAAAAAAAAATCAATGATATACTTTGATGAAATTGCCTCATAAATTTACAAAACCTAAAAGCTGGAATGTTTTGCTATTTTTGGCTGTAGAAGAGAAATGGCGTATTTGTCAGTTTGGTCCATGGATTGTATTACTCATAATATAGTGTTGACAACATACTCTATAATGAGCAATGCAATCCATGGACCTAACTCGCAAATACGCCAGTATTATGCATAGATTTATGATTTTAGGAGTTTATGCAGAATGCTCAAGGGAAAGAGATGGATTTATTGCGGGTAACAGTAAAGGTGCCAGGAAAGCGTCTTCATCGCGCTGTCACTCCCGGTGGGCCGTCCCCTGGCCCGGCTCTTGTCCCGGTGCCAGGTGTAAATGGACTTAGTAAAGACAAGCAGTCATCTGAAGGGGGCGCTACATGTAAGTGAAATCTTTTAAAATGTCCTCACAAATGAAATAAAATAATTTGAATGATTTCTCACGGTCATGGTTTCTCTCTTTCCAGCAAATCTTCTGACTGTAGAAGAGGCATCCAGCACTGGCTTGTCTTTTCATAATGATCAAAGAGTGAAACGTTGCCCGTCATCTGTGTCTAATAAAGGCTTCAGTGTGGGTGCGTCAATATTTAGTTTACACAGTTTTAACAGTTATAACAGTTTTGGAGATTAATAAATTAAAAGTAGCAATGCTACCAACATGGAAATGAAGGTAGCTCAGCATTGTTGTGAAGTGTAGCGATTAATTTAAGTTCATATGCACATCTGATCATTTTAATAGTTCATTTTAAAGATTTATATCACTAAGTGGTACTACCTTTTCTATTTACTTTAGATAGTTTTTGCATGGAATATTTAGTTAAATAAATACACCAGTTAATGACTGTTTCGATTCAGTATTTTTCGACTTGATTCAGTATTTTTTGTTTTATTATTTACATTTAGTGTTAATTTGTGTGTTTAATGCTGTAACTGTAATTGAGATGTATTCTTTTTTGTTGTTGTTGTTGTTGCTGCAGGAAAATACGTAATATAATGATATTATATAATTATATTTAAAAATATTTTTACTATTTTACTATACTATTTTATATACAGTAGTATATTATTATAGTATAATATGTAGCAATGTGTTATATATATCACTGCTAAATGAGTCAGTGTAAATGTAATGTAAAAATATCAATATACTCAATATATTTAATTCATATATCATTATTTCAAATTTTGGCTTTGGAGTTATCTTCAGAAGTTTACAAATCTTTTTCAGGAAATGTTTTGACACAATTCTGTCCTCTTTATTGTATGATCTTAATAGAGTCTAGCATTGAGGGGGCTACAAGTCCTCCCTTAGGAAAAGAACACATCCCGTCCTCTCCGATGACTGACAGGAAGAAGAAAAAACGAAACAGAAGTATTAACCTGAAAGGAGACGCAGCGGCTGGGCAGGCTGAGGGTGAGAGATCACATTTATGAAAGATTGACAGACGTCACATTAATACGGTGGCTTAGAGAGCTCAACTCGCTGCAACTGAAGAAAACACATGCGAATACAAAAACATCTTTATCAGTTTCACAACACATGTGTGCTCCAAATACTCACAACCGAATACAGAAACACGCTGCAAATAGCACAGACCACAACAGAAATGTTTCCAGGGGACCCCAATAAGTGACGAACCCGGCTTTTCCTAGTGTCCTCCTACCGCGTTTTCCATCGTCGAGTATCACGTCTGAAATGCGCGCAAGTGTCTTCAAATGTTGTTGTTGGTGTGTGTGACGTCATTGCCGTAAAGCATGTTGTGATTCTCGCGAGATTTGTCGGGGGCGCTCCTCTCAAACTTGCTTTCCGGGTTTTTCCAGGTTGACTCGCCCTACTATGAGTTTGTTTACCACCGAAATGACTTTAAAGCTGTTATATTAAGGTACAATTCTTACATAGTGTGCCTTTAATTTGCCGGTGTTTTTCCATTTGCACGTGTTCTCTTCAGTTGCTGCGCGTTGAGCTCTCTCAGCCACCGTACATTGATCCAATTTCACAGCTAAAGCGATCAGATGTATTATTGCGAAGAGTTTGCAAATTTTCTTTCTTCCCTTTTCCTTTATGAATCCAGTATATGGACCGGATTAATTGCTTTCTGTAAGGTCCTCTTACAATCTCTTCTACTTCTTACTTTCTTCTTTCCTTTCTTCTTCTTATCCTCTGCTGCCCTGGACTAATTTCTTGCACCGCAAGCCAAGCGCAAAATGTGGAAATTAAAAAGCTTTGGTAGCTTGAGAAACATTAACAAAACAGGTAACCTGAATGAGTGAAATGTGTGAGTGGCTGAGCTGACTCCATCTTGCTGTTTTTTCTGCTGTATGTGTCTCTATGTCCATCTCTTGTCACATCATTCGATTACAGCAAATGGATCTGAGTCTTTCTGTCTGTGTTCCTGTCTCCTGAAACACATAATTATACTGAGACGATACATTAGACTGAGGACACAATGGGTGTTTTTATTGATCCCTTCCTCTTGTGTAAATAACTGTTGCTCTCGCCCAAACAGAAGAAGAGAGCACGGACTTCATCATCATATCGAGCACAGGACAGAGCTGGCATTTTGAAGCCCAAAGTCAAGAGGACAGGGACGCCTGGGTTCAGGCCATCGAAAGCCAGATCCTTGCAAGTCTACAGAGCTGTGAGAGCAGAAATAAGGTAAAGAGGGCGATACATTTTTATCTAAGAAGCTCTAATCTGATCTCTATCAAATTTGCATAATGGTCTTGGTCTTCATTGTGTATCATATCACTGTGCATCAAGTGCTGAGGAACATCCTGAGATGAAATTCAGATATGGGAATGGGAGTTTTGTTTCCGACAAGTGCAATCACAACAGACTGGGTCATCCGACCAATCAGAGCAGAGTAGACTCTTGAAAAGGAGGAGTTTAGAGAAACTGTATGTTATGAGAAATTGAAAGTGTTTTTTTATTACATTGGATGCATGCAAATCTATTGTAGGAAACCTCAAAGCAAAACAAGGAACCTTTAAAATAGCAAAATAGGGTCACTTTAACTTTTCCATATATCCCTAAAATCTAAAATCGAAGAGCAATAATTGGTTAATAGAATCAATACAGGACTCTGATTCCTTTTATATACGTAAATCATGTTAAGAAACGATATACTATACATATTAACAGTTTGCTCTATAATATCTCAAAATAATGGACTTCATTTTTAACTCTCAGGCTCGAAGGAACAGCCAAAGTGAAGCTGTTGCCTTGCAGGCCATTCGAAACGCCAAAGGCAACGACCTCTGTGTGGACTGTGCAGCACCAAGTAAGTGTTATTCTGCCTTGTTGTGAAAATATAAAACACAAAATGTCAATGTTGAGATCTGTTATTCAGTATATGAGAACATTACGCTCTCCTTGCAGATCCAACATGGGCGAGTCTTAATCTTGGTGCTCTGATCTGCATCGAGTGTTCGGGGATACACCGGAACCTGGGGACGCACCTGTCCCGTGTGCGCTCGCTAGACCTGGACGACTGGCCCAGTGAACTCACAAAAGTGCTTTCGGCTATAGGCAATCACATGGCCAACAGCATTTGGGAGACCTGTACCCAAGGGTGCCAGAAGTTGACACCTGAGGCAACAAGGTGAGCTGACTTTGACCGTGAATGTCATTGTGGACAATGTTTCAGAGAATGATTTGGCCTTTGCTTGGTGTTTGTCTCAGAGAGCAGAGGGAGTCGTGGATCCGTGCCAAATACGAACAGCGGGCATTTGTGTCGCCCTTGCCCGCTCAGTGTTCAGAGGACACAATGTCGACTTGGTTGCTTAGAGCAGTAATCGACAGAGACCTTCCCAGACTTCTGCTGCTCCTCGCGCACAGCACCAAGGACCTGATCAACATCGCGCCTGAAGGAGCTGGGCAGCAGCATCACAGCGCATTACATGCGTCCTGCCAGCTGGGCGACGTGGTCATGACACAGCTGCTGGTCTGGGTGAGTTATTGAGCCTGACGTGTGATATAAAAAGCCCAAAACATTTTTCCGAATTAGACATTTTTTGATAGATAACATATTTTTAATCCTCTCCTCGGGTTTTGTACCCGATTACCCGAAGCCATAGAATTATACTTTTATTTTTGCTCAGAAAGCTTGTATCCTAATTTTTTTTCTATTTTTAATGCAAATTTTTAGAGATTTTTATTATTGTATGTGCCCTTTAAATTACTAGATTTCAACATTAATTTAACTCTCCAATACATAACCAGCTCAAATCAGCTCACAATATATCACATTGGGTCAATTTGGGTGTCTCTACCGACCTCTTGTGGGAAAAGACATATAACATGATATTCATGACTCTTGCCACTAGATGGCCTTATAGCGCAATATGAGGCAAATGAGCTGTTCCCCTGGGTCCTAAAACCTGGACTGTAGTGTATCTCTCATCTCTCTTTTTGTATATTTTGGTTCAGCAAGAGTCCAAAGACTACCTTGATGAACATTACATTAACAAATATATATATATATATATATATTAGACCCGAGGGAAGGATGTTTTGTCCATTATCATATTTGATACATCAGGCTTTTATGGCTCAGATTTGATATAGGAGAATATGGAGCTCATAATCAGCTACAAAACATCTAAATTTTATTGAGAGCCCCAAACTCAGCAAAAATGGTGCAGATACTGACATTTATATGGCCAAAAACTTAGACAAAATTCTGATAGCTTCTATTGTAGATAAATGAAATTGTAATTACAGCATAGCAAACTACTAGCATAAAATGCATATAAATATCAGTTGTCACTCTATATCTCTCAAAATGCATATAAATATCAGTTGTCGCTCTATATCTCTCAATAATGTCTTATTAAGATAATATTTAAATTAGTTTTATAATAAAAACTCTGTAGTTTATATTGCAAAACTACATTTAAAACATATGCAAAACATATAATGCAATGTAATGATTGAGAGAAATAAATGTTCCTCAAAATCCTGATGGATGTTATTTGAGACTCACACACTGTATTAACGTGATTTTTTTCGGAAAAATTACGTTTGGGTAATCAAGCAAACCTTAGTTGCTTCAGTCCAGTAAATGTTATTCTTACGTTTACTTTACAAAAATCATTCAATTTCACAGCAGAAAGTCACATGTACCGTGACCTGAAGGTGGACATTTTTACAATTACATTAAAAGGCCTTTTACTTGCTAAAAAATAGAATTTATCAATCAGACGACAGTTTTTTTTTAGCAAAGGTATAATCATGTTGATAATTAGAAATGTGCATATCAAAAATGATATACTTTAGGCTTAAAGTGTTAAATGACAAGTTTTTGTAGAATTTTCTTTAGAATTTAGAATTTTCTCTAGCTTTTGCACTTTTAGTTGCATTTATAACAGGTACTTTTTTTTGTTTTTGCTTAATTGTGCTCTACAGTACGGCAGTGATGTGAAGTCAAAGGATCCACAAGGTCGAACCGCACTGACGTTGGCGCGCCAAGCCGGGAGCAAAGAGTGTGCTGAGATTCTTGTCCAGCACGGCTGTCCCAGTGAGACGTCACCCACCTCCCCGACTCCTGTCCTCTCCCGCAAAAGTAGCATCACGAGTGTCGGACGTGTCAATTCCAGGAGGAGGGTCTCGTAACCCATGAACGTTCATGATCACATAAACATTTTCATCAGGGCCATTTTTATTTCTTCATACAGAGTTGTGTGTTCTGTGCGTCTGTGAATCCCCCCCTGAATGTCGGCAACAACGCTGTATTTATATACGTATATCCTTGCGGATTCCTCAGAAAAGGGAAAAAGAAAAAAAGAAACTCATAATTGTCCTTATTAGAAGGCTTAGAATGACAGCTACAAAATTTCAACATGCCTTTTGAAAGGAAACGGAAGCTGTTTTACCAACTAAAAAGCAATATTATTATTTATAATATGCTGATTAATATGTATTATTGATGCATTACATGGAAAAATGTAGCTTGAGAGTTTCCCAAAGCAATCTGAGGGAATGTATTTACCATTATGACTGTCATTACCATTGTTCTTTAAAATAGAAATCATGGCTGAGGGTAATGTAATGTAAGAACATGTTTATATCCAGACTCCAGAAGAAATAGTATTTGTCATTGTGCATCATTTCTAAATAATATAGACAATAAACTCTGATCTTCAACCTCTCTTTGGTACTGCTTGTTAAGTTTCCATCTTTTTATCGAAAAGCTAATGTTTCCACATTATAATGCCTCAAAACTTCACTGTCATTGAAGGCCTGTTTGATTTCAGAGAAATCCACTACAAAGCACTACAGCCTTTGGAACGGGAAAAAATACTTTAGGGGAATTACACTATTTTTTTTCTTGAACTTATTAGTTTATTGTACATATGAAGAGTTCAGATGCAAAAGCCTCTAAGTGCCATTTGAAATTTTCTTCTAAAATGATCATTTTTATCAAGCTTGTATATTTAAGTTCAGTGATTTCACTTAAATGGCAATGATAATTACCTATTAATTGTTATTTAAGTGAAATTACTGAACTTAAATATACAAGTTTGATAAAAAATCATCATTAAAGAAGAAAATTTCAAATGGCATTTAGAGGTTTTTGCATCTGAACTCTTCATATACAGTAAAGGCGTTATTGTCAAAATTCCAGCTATAGTAGTAAGTCAGTCTGGTCATTAGGAACATACTACAACTTTTGGAACATGAAAAAATCTCTTTGGTGAATTGCACTAAAGTTTTAAAACATTTTTGCGTACTGTATGTACAATTGCCTATAAAGACACTAAAGCAGTCGTGATCTACGTGAATACTCAGCATCAAACCTGAAACAATTTTCACCCTGGTGGATTTTTGACTATGATGACTATAATGTTCATGGTGCTGTCCACGTAGCCTATTATGTGGTCCAGAAGGTCCTAAATGATTAGTCTGCAATTTGGGTACTGCTTTTTATTTTCGCTTTGCATATTTGCGGATTTCCGCGTTCAATATCTCGTGAGGTGAATATTGTTACTAAACAAATAACATTGTTTTAATATTTGAATCTCCTCAAAACGAGACCAAATGTGTCCCCAAGGACAAGGATTTAAAATATTGCTATCTTTGTCACGATATTACAAAAATATCGTAAAACCAACTAGTTTTAATTACTGCTAAACGCAATTTCGAACACAAATAAACATGTTTGCTGAGGGAACGTGTGGACGTGTTTTACAGTAGCAAACCAGATTACATTGATTTCCATGGGAGGCGCTCCTTTTCAGTGTTCGGTGTTGAATTTGTCAGTCCTTTATGGCACAATGGCCGTGTATTAAAAATATAGTGAGCTCTTTACCTTGGACAGTAGTTTTGGGCATCTCAGATACGTTCTGACAGACACAACCGAGTGATCTAGGTAGGCAGCTTACTAGGCTTTGAAACACCGCCTTGTCTATGCGGGGACGACTGTCTGGGCTAACAGGATCCGAGTTGGATTATTTATCTATCGCAACCTAGCAGCACTCTCTGGGTAAGCAAACATTTGATTTATTATATGGTTTCTGAGTACTAGTTAGTGGCATATCGGTCTGTTTTATTTCCACTGCGAGAGATGATGGTTACGTGCTACTTAGCCACACATGCTAACGGACTCCAACGGTAACCGGTTAGCTACAGCTAAACGAATGGTGTATTAAATAAAGATGCATTGAGGAGTTTTATTGTACCCTAGATTGTATTCTGCACATATTTAAATATACATTTTTGTTACGGAGGGGTGGCAAATGTTGTGTTAACCTCTAAAGCACAAATTCTATTTGTGTGTGGACTGTCTTTGTTAGGACACCAGTTGTTGAATTGTATCATTCATGAGCGAATTTATTTTTACATTTGTGTAAATTTATGAAATGTGTTTGTATATATATATATTTTTTAGAGCACATATAGAGAAAACATATCTAAAGCTATCCAGACTTTCTGTGTTGAAACGAGTTGGTGATAAATGTAAACATAAGTTAACGTTAAGTGTGTAATTTCATGTGTAGTGGAAATATATATTTCATTTAGTTAGTTTTTAGGGGGATATTGGGCATGTTTTATAAGACGTGCACTTTTGTCTTCATATTCTTTTATCACATTAATTCTGAAATAATTAAATCAGTAATGACTGACTCTGCTCTGAAACGACATTACCATTTGGCTGACGTCACCAAGCCCTCTTATTTTTCAAGCACTTGTCAAATGATCTTAAAAAGCCTGCTTTGTTACCAATTTAATTTATTTTATTGGGAAATTCTATATCCATAAATGTAAATTCTCCAACAATAAACCAATCTTTATAGTTTTTTTTTTCTGAAAGAGTTTGAAATGTACCTTAACACCATCTCATCCTCAGTAAATAAGAAAGCAATAAAAAAACTTTTATTTTGTAATGACTTTAATTTGGTTAGACCTACTCTAAATTTTGTATAGAATATCTTGCCCTTTTGACCCTCATTTTATTTATTTTATTTATTTATTTATTTATTTATTTATTTATTTATTTATTTATTTATTTATTTTTCCTCTTTCTTTCCTCTTCTTTTTTTGTTTTAGATAGTCATACTTGTGTTAAGATGACTCTGTACATATTGTTGTCATATTTTGTACAGATATGTTTGAAATTTTGTAACAGAATTGTATGCTATTTAGTATTTTGTAACAGATTTGTATGCTATGTGAGAGAAAAAAACTTGTCAAATGATCTTAATACAATAGGCCTACTACTTTACTAATTATGTGCAGTATATACTAATAATACTATACTGTTAAAAAATAAATAAATAAAATAGTATCCATTATTCTACGCTAACTTAAATGTTAGCGTGTTAACAAAAACCGGACGGGCAGAGTGATTAGTGATATTTCCCTCTTAAAATACTGAATATAAGTGCATCTTGCTATTCAATTTCATCTGAATCTTATGTCATAACCCTTTTTGGTTCACTTCTCTTTGTTTCAGTCCAAATCCTGGCTTTGGTCACTATTGCCAGGCATGCGGATCAGGCTGCAGGGCTCTGGCCACGCGGCCCGTCTCCTCTCCGAGCTCAACCGCTACCGCCTGTCTCGCCTCCTGTGTGACGTCATCCTCCAGGTCGGGGGCCGTTCCTTCCCGGCTCATCGTGTGGTACTGGCGTGCTCTTGCACGCACTTTAACAGCCTCTTCTCCAGAGGTTCCCTCAACCAAGATGGCGTTCTCACCACCTTCTCTCTGGACTTTGTCTCTGCCGCCAATCTCGAGAAGGTGTTGACTTTTATCTACACGGGTGAGATTTTCACGGATTTGATCAATGTTGGTGTGCTGTATGAGTTGGCGGAAAGGCTTGGCGTGAGGGAGTTGGTGAACGCTTGCCATGCCACCTTTCCTGACCTGCAGAGCTCCAGCTCTAGAGACCCGGTGGCCGATGGGGATACGGAAAGTGATATGGTGTCCGCCAACGCCGTGGCTGTGTCCGTTTGCTCATCCTCCGCAACATCCTGCTCCTCGCTCTCTTCTTCAGCCGCTCCCACACCTGTAACTCCATCTCCGGTTTCTCAAGGCAAGAACGGCAGGTTGAATCGCTCCCACTTGGCCACCCAGTCACCTAAAAACGACTTGCAGGTGCATTTGGGTTTCAACCAGCAAGTGACCAACAAGCTGAGTCCTTCGGACAGCAACCATTCTGCAGATGTTCTTCCTTGTCTTGCTTTGCAGCTCAAGACTGAGCAGGAGGATGAAGAAGAAAATGGAGGAAGCAACTCAGTGGACCAGCTTGTTGTTAATGGTAGCAAGTCAGCGTTTGGGTCTCAGGAACCATGTTCCATTCCTGATTCTTCAGCCCAGCTTGGCGGTGAAACCTGCGCCCCTTCATCGTCCTCCGGTGACCCCTTGGACAGTTTGCAGCTTGGGGCTGTTACAGGAGCAATCAAAGATTCTGATTTTTTTGAAGAAGATGATGCCAGAAAGAGGCACCGCCTAGAGGAAGAGCATACGGAAAGTGGTGATCAGTGGCGAGCACTTTCAGAGGACATTATTGAACTGAGCGACGAGGAGGAGCACTTCATAGTGGAGGAAGAGGACGACGAGGACTTGATGTGCATTGAGAACGGTGAAAACGGGGTATCTCTTGGCCAGCTGGCGTCCTCGCAGCCATGCAAATCGTGCGGGATGCTGCTTCCGGTGGAAAACGACATCATACGAACTCACGCTGAGACGCACCTCTCGGAATCGGGTTCGTGTCTAGTTTGTGGCGCCTCCTTCTCGGATCGTTCTGCTGGTGTCGCTCACGCCCTCACACACGTGGGCATCTTGCTCTTCTCCTGCGACGTTTGTGAGCACCAATTCCGGACCGAGTCCGCATTGATTCTCCATAGACGTCAGTCAGCAGCCAAATGTGTCCCTCAGAATCCCGACCAACTGAACGGGGCCTCCCAAGGGCAAGGAGGGGAACTGCAGTGCACCATTTGTGCTAAAACCATGGCAAATGATTTCAAAGTTAGTGAAGCATACTTATTTTTGTTGTTTATAAGCCTTATACCGTGTCATAATCAGGTGCAATGTGACAACTTTGAATCATAATGCTTGTGCCTTAATCATTAATTGAAATAAAACTGAAATTTAATTATATACAATTTATATTAGGGCTGTTAAATGATTAATCGTGATTAATCACATCCAAAATAAAAGTTTTTGTTTACATGATATATGTGGGTGCACTGTTTATAATTATTTTTTATATATAAATACACACTCATGCTTGTATATATTTGAGAAATATTTTCATGTATATATACTGTATATAGATTTATATATAAATAATTTTTTTTTCTTAAATATCCATGCATGTGTGTGTATTTATATACATACAAAATAATTATACACAGTGCACCCACATATATCATGTAAACAAAAACTTTTATTTTGGATGTGATTAATCGTGATTAATCATTTGACAGCCCTAATTTATATATATATATATATGTAACTTATATACTAAATTAACTAAAACTAGATTAAATAAATTACAGCTAAATAAAAATATAAAAACTTATACAAATGACAAAAGCACCCAAGAAAATTATTAAAACACACTAAAATGAAAATATAATATAAAATCAAAATATTGATAAATACTCAAATAGTATATAAATAATATTAAAGTAACATGTTTTAAAAAGCTACATTTTATAATTATTAATACATTAAACCTGATATTTATGTTTATATACATATGAAATATAAGCATTATTATATTATTAATATTAAATACATAAACAATATTAAAAAGACATTGCTTCACCGTTTTTTAGCTACTCAAGTAGACAGTAAACAGATAAAACAGACAGTAAATATTACAGCAACAAAATTATTTATTTTTAGTTAATATTATTTCATATAGCATATGAGCTACCACTCTGTTGGTTACATACTTCTAACTAACTTGTATTTTGTACATTTTTTGTAGACTAGAAAAATTGTATTGTTCAGAGTTTTACTTCATAATTCAGTTTCTTTAACTTGATTTGTCTATATTAATGATGGATTTGTTGACTTTCTTCAGGCGGTGAGGGACCACGTTCAGAGCCACGCATGCTTGAGGACGTTACGCTGTGGAGTATGCCAGCTGTCTCAGGCCTCTCGATGCGCCCTCCTGTGGCACACACTAACACACCTTTTTCCAATTTACACTTGTCCACAATGCGCTAACCCCTTCCTGGAGAGTGCACTGCTTGAGAGACACCTGTCTGTACACGCAGAGGAAGGAGCGTCAGTGAAACGGGGCGACGGCAGTCCCGCAACCAGCGGAGAAGGCCAGGCCGAGCTGCGCTGCTTCCTGTGTCCCCAGACCTTCCCCTCCGAAACCGCGTTTCATTACCATCTCAGCGTGCATTCCAACGAGCTCCAGGGCAGCCAGGTTTGGCCGGCCAAGCGCAAGGCAGACCAGCTCATCGAATACTCCTCCTCCTCCTCCTCGCCTTTGGAGGCGAGCGGCTCGGGTAAAGCAGGTTTCAACGTGAGCATGGGCTTCAACCTGCAGGACAAAATGGCTCACGAAGGCGCCCCGTTTCCAGCCGGAATCGTACTGAACGGCAAATCCGGTGCTGGCACGGGGCTTAGGGAAAAAGTGTATCGCTGCCGGTACTGCGGCAAGCATTTTGCACATTCGGGCGAGTTCACCTACCACCTCCGCATCCACACGGGTGAGAAGCCCTACCAGTGCAAAGTGTGCCTGCGCTTTTTCCGTGGCCGATCCACCATGATCTGCCACCTAAAGACGCACTCGGGCGCCCTCATGTACCGCTGCACCGTCTGCGGATTGTTTTTCTCCACGCTTAAAATGGTTTCCACGCACATGGAGGTCCATGAAGACCAGCTGCCGCCCGATTTTAACATCGAGGAGACCTTCATGTATAACGACCACTCTAAAGAGCCCGTCCCAAACCTGGACACCTGAACAACGTTGCCCTCCGAACTCTCCGTCACACTGTGTGCCCACGTTTACTTACTCAGTAGGTTGTCGAGGACAAGTGACCGTAGACCTAGAAAGTAATGAAGTGTTTAAAGGGATAGTTCACTTTGAAATACATTTTTGGTATGTTTTAGCTTACCTCAAGGGCATCCAGGATGTAGGTGACGTCTTTGTTTCCACAGCATTTTCAATTTTGACATTTTTCGGTCAAACCGGTCAGTCCTATAATGCAGTTTTAGGGGGTCCACCTCAAAGAGCATGCACAGAGAAGTCAAAATTAAACATGATTGAATGACTCGTGAATTTAAGTACACACGAAACGAGCGGTTTGTGTGAGAAAACGAACAGTAACTATTTATATAGTTTTTACCTCTTGTTAAAGAGCCCCTATCATGGATTTTTTAGAAAATGACTGTTCATGTGGTGTGGAATATAGCTCTAAAGGAATGAAAACATCCTGCAAAGATTTATATCTGAAAGTGCACCGTATATAAAGGTATTGTCTTTTAAAAGTGAGAGTCGACTCTGAGTCTATGAAATGAATTGTTTTTGAAACGAGTCATTAGCTGTTACATTGTAGTGACGTAGATACGAAACATAAGCATATTGGCCGCGCCCAGTTACTGCGCGCGCAGACGGAAGTATAAACTTGAAGTCTAGAATTGGTTTTGCATTTTTTTTTTATATCAACAATTGGTTTTGAATGGCAGTCTATGGTGACATTTCACTAGTGAAAATACAATTGTTGATATCAAGACTGCAATTGTTGTTGTTGATATCAACAATTAAATCAACAATTTAATTCTTGATATCAAGAATTCATATCCTGGAAATAAAAGCTAAAACGGCTTGCCATAGCCTATGGTGACATTTCACTAGTGAAAATACAATTACAGATATCAGCAATTCAATTGTTGATAACAACAATTCAATTGTTGACATCAACGATGCCATTTTTTTGATATCAAGAATTCAATTGTTGATATCAAAAAATGGCATTGTTGATATCAATAATTCAAACCCTGGAAATGAATAAAAGCTAAAACGGCTTGCCATAGTATGGAGCGTCTTGTACTGCAGTGCTTTATCAATACAGTATGTTTATGCGTTGGGCTAACAAACAATAACTGACAGGGTCATCTGACCAATCACCGCCGATAAGCCTCACGCAAAGGAGTGGTTTGGAAAAAATGAGTCGTTGTATGAATCATTTGGGAGTCGATGAGCAAATCAGGTAAAAATAAATGCATATCATAAGACAACAAAAGTATTATTTGTCATTGGATTCATGTAAAACTGTTGTTGGGAACTCCCAGAACAATATTAGGAACATTTTAAATGCCATAATAGGTGCCCTTTAACAGCCGTCGAACTGATCTGAATCATATGTGCAACTGAACCGAACTGAACCGTCTCCTGACGTTACGCCGGAAGTGATCTCTCGCGCGTCTACGTCGCGCATTTTTTACACGGAGATTTCGGAAGTTTTACGTTTCACTAAACATATTTAGATATTCGGGAAATCGCAATGGAAGACGATTTCGATCTAAATATGTTTAGTTTCTAGCCGGAATGTTTAGTAGCCGGAAGCGAGAGATCACTTCCGGCGTAACGTCTGGAGAGACGGTTCAGTTGGACATCTGATTCAGATCAGTTCGACGGCTGTTAATAAGAGGTAAAAACGATATAAATACTGTTCGTTTTATCACACAAACCGCTCATTTCGTGTCCTAGGTAATCAGTGTGTACTTACATTCACGAGTCATTAAATCATGTTTAATTTTGACTTCTCTGTGCATGCTCTTTGAGGTGGACCCCCTAAAACTGCATTAGGACCAACAAACAACAACGTTTTGACAAAAAAAATGTCAAAATTGAAAATGCTGTGGAAACAAAGACACCTACATATTGGATGCCCTTGAGGTAAGCTAAAACATATCAAAAATTAATTTCAAATTGAACCATACCTTTAATGTGATCGTCTTTGTGTTGTTGTATACAGATTGAGAGTGATTCTTGTTTTTTTAAAGACTAAATTAAGGGTAAAACTTTATTTTAAAAATGTAGTGCTGATTCTTGACCACTTGATGGCAAGAGAGACTGAGCAAAGTTACACGTTTGGACACACCTATTGATTACTTCCATAACATAGAATTTAACTTAATAATAAAGTCTTTAAAGCTATGGAATAAAAAAAAACCAAACATATCTAACGATCTTATATTGTAGCTTCTTCAAACGTTTGCCAAGAACGTCAGTGTTTGAACACTGTTGAAGGAGTTTACATGTGTGCTGATGTAACTGGTGAAAATTAACCTTTGACTTGTTTTTTATTGTATTATTTTTTTTCTGTATTTTACTGTTTAAGTTTTCCTATTTTTGTATTTAGAATGGCTTAATGAACCTCACAAAATTTTGTTCACATTATTGTTCATGAGTAAGAGAACATAACGTTAAAATAGCGGAACTTTTCCCTGAGTGTTTGTTTGGGGAGGGAGCGTCATCGGTGGAACACTTCCGGGGTTTCTCCTCGTGCGGTCTGTAATAGCCTCAGTCTACCTGAGTGAGAGGCTCGTGAGCGCACGCAATGTTGCTTCTCTCCATGAATGTTACTGGTATGATGATGTTTATTGTCTGAAGGCATAATTATTGCTCAATAATTGTGATTTGAGTGTGCTTAATCATTTGAGTGTGTTACTCGTGATGAATGTGTGTAGTAGTACGAGTTTATACAACTCATTATGGTGCTAACTGATTAGTATCTTATGCACAGAGTGTTACACGAGAGAGAGAGAAGCTGAAGCCCCGTTGATCCACTGATGATCTCTCTGTTTACAGGTGTGTTGTTTAATTAGTTCTGTTTTGTGAAAGGAAAGAGATCTGGTTGACTGTTAATAAATATGTACTGTATTAAGAGTGTTATCGGGGAATCGAATCAGATTCGTGCGTGACGCACGTGGTGCGGCCTGCATATGGTATGCTGCTAAATGTGCATTGAGCTTTTCTTTTGGATTTATGTTTACAAATTATATTATAATTTATTGATTGTTTTTCATAGCATGTTATTTTATATAAATATCTGAATTAATGCATATAAATACTTGAATTAATGCTTATGGTCATGTAATTTAGTATAAAATTGATGTACTATACATTATTGTAGTGTATTAATAAGAGTACTAATGTGATATGTCACAAGGAGGATTATGAATGCGTAACATTTATTATTTTATTTACATGTTTTATTTATTTATTTTTCTTAAAAGGTCTGTAATAGCCTCAGTCTACCTGAGTGAGAGGCTCGTGAGCGCACGCAATGTTGCTTCTCTCCATGAATGTTACTGAGTGTTACACGAGAGAGAGAGAAGCTGAAGCCCCGTTGATCCACTGATGATCTCTCTGTTTACAGATTAAAAAGGAAAAACATTGGATCTCATCGCTGTGTGGTCGTGTGGTCATTTGGGTTAAAGAGTCCGTTCCAGACATGCTACATAATTTGGTGCCGTGACCCGGATGCACCAGATCTGCTGCAGCTGATCGCTGGGGTTCGACAACGCGGGATCACAACGCTTCTGAAATCGACAACCATAGAATCTTCATCGTTGACGTTTTGATGGTAGTGTCTGGACATTGATAGTACTGAACTCTCACTTCACACACCACGCACACCCTCGTTGGACTGTTGTGTTTATTTTCCTTGTTTTCTTCTTCGCTTGGAAAAGCGTACGATAATTGAAAAGTTAATTTTCATTTATGATTTTCATTGTTGTCATTCCCCATATCTAATATGGCTGAAGGGAGATGGAATGAAGACCTGGTAACACCACATATTGGCAGGGGTCGAGGATTCTTTGGGGTAGGTGTACCTAAAGTCGGTAAACCACGTGTGTTGGCCTATGATTCAGTGACTCTTCCAACTGCGCTTCCCAATAACGAGCCGTGTAAACCAGAGACTTCCACTCCTGCCAATACTGGTTGTGACAATGTTACACAGCAGCTACGTGACCTTATTGGTGAGCTCGGAAGCCAGATAGGTGACTCCATTGCTACACGTTTGCTCGCGAACCAGAGTTCAGCATTACCTGGTTCCTCTCCATCTGAGCAGCAACCCTCTAGGACAGTGCCTCCATCCCCCAATCTTGATCTGTCCAAATTAAATCTAGTAATCAAAGCTGATATTAAAGAACCGCAAATGTTCAGAGGGGATGGTAGCGATAAGTTCACCATCCTGGAATGGATTGAACAAATGGGGGTGTATCTGTCCAAAAAGGGTTGTGACAAAGCCGACAGTGTGGAAGAGATATTGAATCATCTCTGCGGCCGGGCAAAGAGCATTGTTAAGGTCAAGCTGAAAAGTAGCCCGGCTGCAGTACTCTGCCCAGAGGCTGTCTATGAGGTACTACGGCGTTACTTTAGCGAAAGCCCTGGCTCTTGCCAGCCGTTAGCTGACTTTTATGCGACACAGCCAAAGTCTAATGAGCACCCTGTTGATTATTGGGTCAGGTTGAATGAGGCAGCCGAGTTAGCCGATGCTCACTTGCAAAGATGTGGAGGAAAGATGGAGAATATGAGCTCAGAGATTTCAATGATGTTTATCAGAAACTGTCCCAATCCTGATCTTTCCAGCATTTTTAGGAGTAAGCCCATAAGCAAGTGGTCAGCTGAGGAGGTCCAAGAGGCTATAGATGAGCATGAGAGAGATTTCAAGTCTCAGAGACCAGTTCCATCTCTGCTTAAAGTGGCTGTGAATCAGGCTGTTGCTGCTGAAAAACCTGTCAACACTCAGGTAGCAATAGGAAACGAAACTATGTGCGTAACCTCTGCACCGCATGCAACAGTTCAGAACCCTAAACCAAGTGAATCCGCAGAATTGGGCACTTTAGAGCGAGTGCTGAAAATGCTAGAGAGGGTGCTGGAGCGCACGACCCTGCCTGCTTCAGAGCCACGTCCCCGAACATCACAGTGGTATCGATCCCCTTCGTGTGGGGTCTGTGGAGACAGATCTCACTCGACTCGCTCCCACTGTATGAGAGAGAAAAGATGTCTCGCTTGCCTAGAAATAGGACATCAGCGTAGGGAGTGTCGCAATGTTGCTGGCCGAGCTTTGGCTCAGACTGG